CAAACTCAAAGCGGAGGTGTCGCTCCACACGCACGTCCACTTCTTTGTGGCTCAACTGTAGGTAATAGAGTGAGAAAAGTTTCCAGTGCCGTTGCACCCATCGCTCAAATAGCGCTTCGTCATCTCGAAGAGCTTTCCGTGTGGCAAGTTCATCTTCCGTTCTGGCCGAGGGCCCGATGATGTGGACGCGTAACGATCGAGTTACTACATCCTTCGCTTCCAAAGCGGGATCCGCAGGAAGGAAGCCATATTCCACACGAGGGTCAATGACCGACCGTGGATGGGCGCGCTTTAGAGCCGCCTTATGGGCAGTTTCAAGCTGCCGCCTCTGTTTCCCATCAAGGTCATCGGTGATTACACCACGTTTCTCAATTTAGGGGAAGTCAGGGAACGGACACGGGATCCGCAAGGCGCGAGCAGGGCTCGTATCACGCTGCTGGTGCAGGTCGCCTTCCTCGTCATCCATGTGGGAAAAGAGTTGTCAGACACATAGTCGACCACATCCTCAACGAGGCCACTCGGCACTGAAAATGTGCGCGGAGCGCGACGTACGTATTCATCGAGCCTAGGATATATATCCCTCGGTGCTGCAGACGCTCTGTCCGACGTTGCACCGCGTGCGGGGGGACGAAGTTGGGCTCTGCCCATGCTCGCTGTCAGAACCAGCGAGACTTGGTGATTTTCGTATCGTGGACACAGGGCTCATTGAGCAAGGAAGTTGTTAAATTCCAACAATTTGGGTTGCAGTGTCTAACGGACACGCGAGCCTCGTTGAGGCAATAATCGATTGGAACTGTAAATGTTCTCAAACTTAATGGGGAAGGGTGTTACGGGGTTACTCGAGCCCTGATAAAAGGAGTGTGTGGCACGCGAGATATACATGATGTGACCACACCCAAACAAGAATACGGTACGGGGCTAGGTACCCAGTAGTTATGCATGTATCTAGGTTTATATATCTATAGTATATTTAGGAAAACTTTTAATACTAGGATAAAATAATAAAAAAACAGTTTTGAATGTAAACCGAAGAGTCAATTAGCCTTAGGAAGGCAATGATTACTCTTGGGGTAAGCGGATTGCGATCCGCTAACTTATACTTGGTTCTCGTAAAGAACAAAAGGTCGGTGACCTAAAGTACGCTTCCTCGAGCGCTTAGCTACGGCAGCCCCGCTGCAATATATATATAGTAAAATCTAAATACATGCATAACTACTGGCTACCCAGCCACGTACCGTTTTTTTATTTGGGTGCAGTCACAACATGCCCATTTCGTGTGACACACACACCCCTGTTACCAGGGTACGTGTAACCCCGTTACATTAAAGGCCTAAACAGTCAACGTCAGCGATTTCAGAATGTTCCTATACCGGCGCTTGTTTGGAGCGCTGCTGAACGTACCCCCGCCAGCGATTACATTGCCGGTTCTTTCATAGCCAATTTCTTGATTTACCAGAACCGATAATAAGCTTTTTTAGCCAGTCAAGCTGTCGCGAGTAGCAGGTATTCAAACACATCTTCTTTCTTCCTCGGGGCAGGTGCAGTACTTGAATAACTCGTCGTGAGATTGTCTACTAGCACAATGGATTTGCCGCACCCTTCGCACAGAGGATATATTCTCTCTCTGAGCCTGCGCTAACAAACGCAACGTATAGCGGTTGGTTTTGTGCGCTTCTTCCACTGCTGAACTAAAAGCCTTTAAGCAAACCAGCTCTGTAAGTCCGCTTTGCTTTTTACGAAAACACATTCATGTTCGTATGTATCTACTTTCTCTTGTGATAAAAGAGTCTTTATTTCTGACGTGCGGCTAATACTTTGTAATCTTCGTAAATTCTGATATTTCGGTACTTTTGAACTCTATAATTACAACTAGTGTAATTTGGATTTCGTCCAATTGTACAGTATAATATCTAAAACAATTGCACCAACTTTGAAGGGGTTTACGACACAAGATTACAGTACTTGCCCTGTCACCAATTGCAGCGGGGTTGCCTTTCACTTCGCACAGAGAGAGCTTCGACTTTACTATTCGAGTTCACAAACGCCTAGAGGCTGAGTTCATGCGCTCCTACAAAGAGCGGACCTATTGTAACTGGGCGTCTAATTAGTACCAAGAACAATACAAAAATATATATTTATATATACGTAGGACTATCTCTCATAATTTTCTGGCGTGCGGCTAGCAGCCCACATCCTCTTTTTCGGAGTACCGTCACCTGCAGAAAATATCAATACCTCAGTGCTCATGAATACTCACAATCACCAATGAAATGTGAATCTCGTACAATTGTACAGTATTGTATTTAATACAATTGTACCAACTGTTAACAACATGGTATGTCTAAGTTTTTTTGATCAAATATCATTGTCATTAATTTCAAACGCGCGTATTGATACAGCCTGCCACATTATACGTTATCGTAGTCACTAAATTTTATAATATATATATATCAAATAAATCTGAGTGCAGTGGTATGCCTCCATTTTATTTTGTCGCTAAAGAAACGTGCAAAGTCTGAACGCTCACGCATGTAGCATCCGCTACGGTATCAGAATGTGCATCATGTCTTGTAGCCACTGCTTCAATCGTTTAAGTGAAGTGAGATCGCTGGCTTTCTAAGATTGGAGGAAAAATTGTTGGCGGATCCCTAGGCTATTGTCAGCGAAATCCTAAATAGCCGGAACATACAATACTATATACCTAGCAAATCTAACCCAGTTTTTCGATGAATTCCCAAAAATGAAGTCTTTTCACCATCAAAAGTATAGAAAAAGCCGCCTATCGATTCAAGAGCCAATGACCAACATCTTCCGTCTCAACCGCTGATATCGATTGGCTCTTCATTGCGCGTCACTTTTACTGTTTGCCGAGTTTTGAGCCGTTGTGGCGACGTCACGCTCGTTTCGACAGCCAGACGAAACGTCATTTACTTTAGAGCAATCCATAATTTTGGATTGTTACACTATGGTCCATTTAGCTGTCATTCGCCATCACACGTCATTAGCCAGCCGGAAAATGCATTCATAGAGAGTTGTGTTCTAGATAGCATTCAAAAGCGCATTCATACAAAATTCTTGTTTATTCTAAATTAAAGGTAGCTCGCGCTGTAACTGGCTGTAAAAAAAAGCATGCGATCTTTGTGGGAAGAAATGTTCGCTCCTTTGCAATAGGTACGAAGCATTATCAGACTGTCGTTGATTGGACTAGCTCAAATTAAATGTGATGACCCGTTTGCAGAGTCTCAACGAATAGCAGGATTACCTGTCTCTCGCTCATTGAATTGCAAACGTTAGCAGTTGCGTCCGAGCCTCTTCGTACAGAATATGTCTTCATGCTACTTAAACCACGAGTATTGTTTCGTCACTCAAAAATCTATTTTTTCCAAAAAAACTTGGTTGTTTTCGTGCCAAGCAGACTTTACGCGCTATGAGCGACAGGGCGCTGGAAGATGGGCGAATGCAGCGGAATGAACCCATGCGGAAAGTAGTATACTGTAGATAAGTGAGCCAAAAGAAAAAAAATCTCAGGAGTCCAGCACACAATCCAATTTGCCGTCTTGGCTTCAAAATCCCGAGCCGTCGAAGCGTTATCTTCAAGATGGCGACTCAAACGAGGGTCTCAGGCCAAGGGAAAGACTACTTTGGAAGTTGGCGGCTCCAGAAAGTGCATTTACCAGAAGTTGATACATGCTCTGACGGCTCGGCCCGTACGGTTGATGAAGCTTTGGACCTTGAGGCGCTGGATTATATGGCAGCTACTGCTACTCAGTATGTCGACCGAGACAATGATGACCTTGATGATAAAATTGGCTGTGAACTGTCACATGTGTCAGGATTACCGCTTGTGTGCAGCAATTGCGGTGTGTCTTTCTTCTCGTTACAAATTTCGGATGATCAGTTGGACTGTTACTGCTCGGGCGAATGCAAATGGAGTGTCATCATGTATCGAGAAATGGATGAGCGTATGTTTGCGATGCGTCGACCTGTGCGCCACGGCTCGATGCTTGACTCAACACAATATTTAAAGACTTACTACAACATTAGTGACGACAGTAAGTTTGTGTTATCTAACGTATGACCGCTCGCTCTTGTCTACACAGTTGGTCATATAGCAGTGTGGTATCGAGTTTCAGAAATACCGCAGTACTGTGGAGGCGAGGGCGGTAGAGAGAGTGGGAGACTGAAATTTGTGTAGTTTGTATGCGTAAAATGTAAATGTCTTTATCTAAGTCTTTCCTTGTGTTTTTGTTCGGAAAATCTCGACATCTAGCGCACCGAAGAACACGATACAAAGCCTTGCAGCACTGCAAAACTCATCTTTCGCGTCATTGGAACTTTAACTATTTTAAAATTTTGAAATGCTTGCTGTCATATGTATCGGCCAATCTGAAAATCTATAGTCGATGATGCACGCAGTAGGATTTGTTACCAAGTTATATCGACTACGTATGAAAGCTAAAAACAATGCGCAGCTTATTCGTCGTCGTCGTCCATTTCCTCCTCTTTAATTGATTGAATGGCCCACTCGTTTACTTCATCACGCAAATTGTCCGGAACTAGACAATGCTGCCAGTTTGTCTCCTCACAAATCCAGCTTAATTCTAGCTCAAACGGGTGGCGCACCTCGTCATGTAGCGTGTTGATACTATTTTACATTCAAGATAAGCATTTAGCACCAGCGACCGTAGCAAGAACAATGTACTAGCACTTACATCTTGGCAACATATTTCATAGCTTCGCGACACGTCATATCAAAGAGCTTGTATTTTTCAATTTCTGTCTTGGCAGATTGCTGGCCCTTACCCAGCGCGCATCCGCGATAGCTCTACAAAAAGCACAGATGTCATTGAGATACTTGTCCTCATTGACAGATGCTGTATATGCGACGTACATAAGTGACTCCTGAGGGTTCTACCATATAAAGGCTAGTCTTCTTCATGTCTTGGTCATACCCAGCAAGCATTATAGCAGTCCCGAAAGGTCGAATCGAGCCGTAAAGCGTGTAATAGTGCACGAATTGTCCCATGCGGTCCGCCAGGAGATGCGGTGGGATGCAACAGCCATAATTCTTCTTGTAGTTAAGTGCTTCTTCGCGTGCTCGATTGACCAATTGTCGACCATCAGCTACAAGACCACCCATGGAAAGTCCAACATGACGGTCAATAGCGTAAACTCGGCGGTGTGTGCCGGGTACCAGCATCTTGCTCAACAGCGTCTTCTCCACGCCCATGATGACGCCATCAGTACATTTGATGCCAATAGTCGTGCTGCAATATCACAATTGATGAGATTTGTACATGAATAAGCACTTTATTATACAGAATTTCGCGGCGTACCCACTGTTTTCGACAGCTTTCTTGGCGTACTCAACCTGAAAGATGCGGCCTTCAGGTGAGAATGTGCCAGCTGAGTAGTCATATCCAGCACCAGTGCTACTCATACTTTGCCTTTGCGCCTAGCTGTAGATACAGAAACACGACTATTGATCAGCATTGACATGGGCGGGGTCAAATCTGCATTCGTCACCTGTGTCGAAGCTGGAACGGAAAATATCCTCCCCGATTTTAAGATTGTACATAATGTCGTGCTAAGGTTGCACAAATCAAGCAATTCAATACAGCTAAATTACACCTGTTTAATTTGAAACCCTCTCTAAATTGAACAAAAGATATGGACCATGTTGGGCACCATACTTTAATTAAAATACCTTTAAAATTTAAAAATTTGAATTTGATAGCTCAGTCCCGACAATTTTCTTAGCTAAATCTCTCTATATAGCGTACGTAGAAACAAAAGTCTGACGTATTCTGACTTAGAAAGAGAGTACTAAAAACGAGTAAG